CTTGTGAATGTGACATGGTTGCGCGTGCGCGTGAGAGAGAGAGAGAGAGAGAGAGGACACTGTTGGGCATGCCTTGTGAATGTGACATGGTTGCGCGCGCGCGCGCGAGAGAGAGAGAGAGAGAGAGAGAGAGAGAGAGGACACTGTTGGGCATGCCTTGTGAATGTGACATGCTTGCTCCCTTGGTGTATCTGCACACCACCTGATCACATGATGTTCTGTGTTAGGACCGATTTGACTGAAATAGGCTCTTTTATCATGAATTTTAAACCATCTGCTAAAGGTTGTAATAACCCAAACAATCCTACCACATTCGGGCCTTTTCTACACTGCATAGAAGCCATTTTACTTAAACGCCCGCGACGGTAGATGTGTACTTCTTGGTGGCATGGCAATTCTGTCTCACTAATGGCTCGAGTCAAATCATTGTCTTGATAAACGTGTTGTTTGAGAGTTTTGTTCAGACCACTATATGGGATGGGTGTTAACACCGAATGTCTCTGTGCACCCTCGAGAAGTGAAACGCTCGTAACGATCGCCATCGCCAACAGATGCACACCGGTATTGAGCTTTTGGAACAACGATGAGGACTTGCAAATAGGAGAAACTATATGCCGTCCGAGGGTTCTTGTGCAGCTGTTCTAAAAGTGCCTTTTTGTTTCTTGCTGTTATCTTCGTTCTTCACTTGGTTCACAGATTGTGCTCTTTGTAGTCGGTAGATCTATGACCATACACAGTGCCGTGTTTGTATGGCTGCGATTCCAACATTTGGTGTCTTGACGTCGGAATTGTGGTGCTGGCAGCGGACATGTATGCACGCAATTCACTCCCAAGGCGTTGATTGGTGAGAAGAAGGGGGGTGATGGCACGCCACTGCTCGAGGCATCATGAAAAGAAGGGGCGTGTTGCCCTTTTTCATCGGCCGGAAAAGAAAAAAGAAAAGGCACCATGGTCTTTATCAGTAGCCCTTGGTTAGTAATTAAGAAAAAAATACTGAAAAGAAATGGAGTTAACGAGCTGGCGCTGGAAAGTTTGCAAAGACTGTCTTCCAGCTTGAACAGGTCTACGACGAGGTGTGCACTGGAAAGAGAGTGCACCTGGGCTTTGGCATACTGTTTTGCACCACAGCATGGTAAATTTGTGTGCTGCAATGTGGTGTGTATGTTATCCTCCCTCCCTCCCTCCCTCCCTTCCTCCCTCTCTCTCTCTCTCTCTCTCTCTCTCTCTCTCTCTCTCTCCCTCTCTCTCTCTCTCTCTCCCCTCCCCTATTGAAATATGCATCGGGGCATGTCGTTGGGAGATTCTGGACAGAGCACAGTCCACTGTCCCTCTTTCTGATACGTGCGTGCACTACCATTAACACGCAGGTGCAAACTTTCCGATAGACATCAGCATACACGAACATGCTGTTGCACACTTTGTGCACGCGTGCACATGTGATCCTCCGAGCACCGTGCTGCCCTAAGGGTGTGTTGTTCAATCTACTTCAGTTTAAGATTGGGCATGCTTTGTGCTTTCTGGACTGTGTTGTCATCGAGGGAACTTCATGATGCCCGTGGAAGCTTCAGTGGTCCCGACTTTCATGGACCTTGTCTGTCTTCACGTGCACTGCCGGTTCTTTGACACCCTACATCTGCCTATGGCGACTCGTCCTTCTTTTTGTCCCCGCATCTTCTTATGGTTCGCTTGAACACCCTCTGGGAATTCCAAGCATCGCCTTCTCCATTCTGTGTCTTCTGACTTGAAGTCAGCGAGAACTTCATTGCCCTCTAATTCCCCAAGTTCCGTTGCCCGTTGTTCAGATCACCGCCTGACTGATGCCCAAGGATATCTGATTCTTTGCACTGTACATGCTGTGGTGCAAAACAGTATGCCGAAGCCCAGGTGCTCCAGCGTCCTGACAACATCATAAAATCATCGTCCGGACAACATGCATGCATGCATGTTGCTGCTGAACCTAGGGGATTGGATGGAAGAAGGCCAACGTCCATACCTAGGATCTCCAGCGCCACTTGTTGCGGGAGGTATGTATGGGTCCCCAGGGTGTCGAGTAGTATGTGCCAAAAAATAATGCTGGGTCTGCCCATCGATTGACATCACTGTATTTCCTGGTTTGCAGGCTTGGACTAACTGACTCACTGGAGCAGCTGGAGCAAGAGGTAGAGATGGATATGGCGAAGGAGGAGATGACTGAGATGAAGAATGCTGCACTGGAGAAGATGGAGAGCGTCAAGAAGAAGTAAGTGGCAGCAGGCTCCTGTGTGTCTGTTATCTTTCTTCCTACCCATGATGCTGATTGGTAGGTTTCTGAAGTTTAAAAAAAAGTGCGCCTTTTCAGTTACAGAATGCAGAGCATGGCAGGAAACTACTCTGCAGATTTGTAAGCATGCACAAGGCTGCAGGTGAGGTTGCTGGCAGGTGGGGATTGCCATTTGATCGGTGTTTTCCGGGAACGCTCCCCTTGGTAAGATAGCAGTTGGCATATTGTATTGGCTTGTGGCTCATCTTAATATGTTGTCGACTAACGAGTAATATATGTTGTCGACCACGGAGATCGTCGTCGGAAGAATAAACAATATTTTGTTTGAGGGGAAGTTGAATGGCAATTACTTCCAGGTGTGAAGGATGTACCACCCCTCACACCTGAGACTAAGCTAGCCTGCTTGAACCCTTTCTGTCCAAGGAAAACTACTCCAGGATATGTATCTGTGGTGTTTCGGTGTAGCCTGACTGTGGTGTCCGTCGCCGTCTTGCTCCCCTCAGCTACGTAGCTGTCGGAGTGCCGTGTGAGGCTAGAGTTAGCAAGGACTGCTGTTCTCTTTTGGTTGAGCTAAAACCCTAAACCCTAGGGGACCTTTTCTCTGGAGCTAACCACGCCCTGCCCTTTAGTCAGGCTGCATCTCTGCACCGTTGGCTACCTACCGTCTTCACCCGAATAGAATGCCTGGTAATTATTGCCGTATCTGGGCTGACAGTTGTGCCAAATACAGCTATAATGACCGGGCGTTTTATTCAGGTGAAGACGGTAGTACTGTTTCTGATCTCTCCTTTGTTGCTTCTCGTTTTAATATCTTTCCTCAGTAGGAAATAGTCTAGTATTTCTACTTCGGGAATTAAGGTGAGCATCTCCATTTCCTGCTTCAGCAGGAATGCAATTGGAACGACATGATACCTTGCTCTGTAGAGGTTTGCTGCTAGCCTCTTTCAAAACGATAGGCTATTTCTCGGTGAGGGTGGGGGATTGAAGGAGTCTTCGGTCCCTGGGTTCTCACGTAAGGTCCTCTCTTTAGGAATTCAAACCAAGACCCGGGGATGATTCGTTGAATCGCCGTGAGGTTATCTGTAAAGAAGAGGCAGCTTTTTCAGGGGGGTTCTAATTTCTTGCTCTGTCACCCAGTCTTATGTGCTTCCGACCGTATGCGTCGAACCTTCGTCATGCCCTTGTCCAATCCAAGAAAGCCATCTGTGATTAGAAGTGGTAAGATATCAAGGGGGGGGGGGGCTGTGTTGTTTGTGATGGGGGGGGGTTCAGACAGAACAGGGGTTGTCTGAGGACTTTTCGTCTTCTTTGCTCCTTGGTTGGCCCTGTTTTTTGGTGAGCATTTTGTGGCCCCCCCTCCCCCCCCCTTAGAATAGCCGCCCAGTAGGGGGTAGGCTTCGGGACGTTTGTGGTTGCCTGTTGTATCTTCTGATTCTCCCGGTTTTAAACTATCCATTCCTTAGCCCTGTCCCGGAAAGAACCTTCCCTATGTGTGTGCGTGCGTCTGGACTTCAGCCACCTGTCTTATGCCGTCAAGAGCCATGCGTACCCAAGGCACGTTGTTTTTTCGCTCTTTTCTTTTTTCTTTTTCATTATATCACCCATCCCAGTACTATTCCGGCCTAGTGGCGCTTGGCTTCCGAGATCGGATGGGATCGGGCGCATTAGCTGTGGTATAACCGCACCATTGGCAGGTGGTGTTTAATTTGCTGTTTGATTGCCCATTTCATTTGCAAGGCTATGTATGGTCTCCTGTTTCGGATCTACTAGACCGAGTCCTCCCACTTGAGGTTTCCTTGTGAAAAAAAAAAAAAAAAAAAAAGGGAAGTTGAATGGCAGGTTCTTGCTGGCTGATAATACTTGCTCTTGGGATACTTTTTGTGTGTGCAGGGATGGGCTGGACTTCATCAATGTGGACCTGAAAACTCTGAATCCATCTGCCTACCTCTAGGTGAGGCCCGGTTTGCGGTGACGGTCTTGCTGCACTGAATGCCTACCAAGCTGCGCTGCGCTGAGTGCCTACTATATACATACTCGTTGCAATCTGCGAGTCGCTGTTGCTCCTTCCACAGCGTGAGTACCTTATCGTCCTCCTAGTGACATGGGTGTGGGGCTCATCTCAGGTAGTCTGCGCGTGCTTACCTTAGCTTACACAAGAGGCTTTTCGCTTGTCCCGGCGACTGAGTGGTTGTGCACTACTCAATGTTGTGGACAGTTGAGCATGTCAACTCGGGCTAGAATGCGGGCGGGCGGGCGGGGGTGGATTCGTATTGTTCTCGAGGCGAGAACCAACTTTTGGACACTGTTTGCCATCGGATTTAATTACCATCTGTTTGTTGTTTCCATTTCACAGCCGTGCGGTCCAAACTGCAATGTGGCTGGGTTTTATCCAAAACGGTCTCTGTCAAAGAGCTGGGTGTCTGTAACTGCTTTGTATCTAGGCGCAAGAGAGAAGTGGAAGATGATTGAAAACGTGCATGTAGAATGTATCAGCAGGAGTGGAGGAAAAAACACACCCAGTTTTTTTTTTTTGGGGGGGGG